AAGTCATTATTCTTCTATAACAAAAGTAAAGTTACTCTGGGTTTATACCAGTACAACTGAGGGTAGAATGTATGCCTTCTTCGTTCAAGAAGGTTCAAGGACAATCAATAAATCCTTCAGTAAAAATAAGTTACTCACTAATTCTAGTAGCAATAATACTTTGCCTTTAGAAAGTGTTTTAGTTTTTTTAAATATTACATACTCATAAGCTAATGAGTTCTCACCACTACTCTGTACAGCAGGAAAAATAATCACAGAGGTGAAATGTCCAAATTCACATAGGCTACGTCTACAAATCAAAGCTATTTTGGGATACATTCGGTATCCCGAAATAGCTATTCCACATCTTAAGAGCAAGTCCATTATATCAAAATATAACAGGCTTGCTATTCTGATTTCCCTGTAAACCTCATTTCATGAGGGATAAGGGATGTTTTGGAATAGCACCTTATTTCGAAACTTGGCACTGTGTAGACAGTACCACATTTTGAAAAACTATTTTGAAATAACATTGGAATAAGCTACACAATTTATGTAGCGCAAATTGCGTAGCTTATTTTGTGGCAAGGGTGCTGTGTAGATGCACCCATAGGGTATGTCTACACTACAGAGTTAATTCGAAATAACAGACATTATTTCGAATTAACTGTAATAGCTGTCTACACATACAAACCGCTATTTCGAAATTAGTGGAGCCCTTATTTTGAATTAGGTAAACCTCATTCTATGAGGAATAACGCCTAATTCGAAATAGCTAATTCAAAATAAGTGCTGTGTAGACACTTATTTCGAATTAGGGGGCCTCCAGCCCTTCCCAGGGAGCCCTGGTGGCCACTCTGGGCACAACCAGGAGAACTCATCTGCTCCCCGCCCACCCCGGAAGCCCTTAAAGGGGCAGACTCTGGCCACAGTGCCTGTACCAGTTGCCAGCCTGCCAGGACACAGCCAGCAGACCGTGCACAGGATAAGCCAGCCACCCGTTGCCACCCAGCCCTCCACCGCTCCCCAGGACCAGGCTGGCGGCTCCCACGAGCCTGCCAGGGGCAGCAAAAGGTGGGCACCTTCCTGGTCAAGTGCAAAAATCGTGGGCCTCATTGAGATTTGGGGGAAGGCCTCCAATGCCCACGATCTCTGCACTAAGCACAGGAATGCGGCCATCTACAGCCACATGGCTGCCAGCTTGGCCACCAGAGGCCACATGCAGACCCAGGAGCAGGTGCGCAGCAAAATAAAAACTGCGGCAGGCCTATGCCAGGGTCTTCCAACCAGGGGCTGACCCGGAGGCCTGCCCGTATTTTGAGGGCATGGACTGCATCCTGGGGGGGGTCAGACGGTCCATGCCCCCCGGCTGTCATTGACCCCGGGGCGGAGGGGCCCGGCCCCCGCAATGGGGG